ACTACGTGATATTTCCCGTCACATGTATTGCCCTAACACATTGCTAGATGTCAATCCGGGACAACGAAAGTGAATTAGTGATAAATTAATTTTTCGACTTACATTGACTTAATAGTGGGATAAAGATATGATCGATAATTGAGATTGACACATATCCATATCTCATAATTGATCGGATCATATTGACGAAAGGATTATAATTTCACGGTAAACGAACAAGTTTCGTTTGTCACACCACGTGACATTTTTCGTCATATATATTGACATGACACATTGTTAGATGTCATCTGAGACGACAAATGTGAATTTGTGAAAAATTAAAGGGAGTATTTTAATTTATCGATTTTGATTAGATCAAAATAATAATTCACAACGTTAGATATCGTGATAGAGAACCTGATGGGTCATACACAAAAGGAGAATCAGAAAAATGAGATTCACCAATTAATTAATTAATTAAAAAGTGTTGAAAATTAATTAATTAGGTTGCTTGTTAATATGCCCAAATTAATTAATTGGATTAATTAATTCATTGACCAAATTTAATTAATTGGATTAATTAAATATTAGATCGAATTAAGTTTAAGAGACGAGGTCAAGCCCACTTGGACTTATATTAATAAGCCATTAGAGTTTTAGAAAAGAACATAACATGAACAAGAAAAGAGAAATCATAATTCTCTCATTCTTAATCCCTATATGAATTTCTATTGGATGCTGGATAATTGAACAACTGTAGATTGTGATTGTCCCCGTTCTAAAATTCGCGAAGGGGTTTACAAAATCTACAAAAGGTACAATTTCTATCACGGTTTCTTTCTAAACACAAAGAAGATCTTTGATTTGAATTGAAATTCGTCTATTTTTCCGTTGTTCATGTTAAATAAATTCCCAACATGTAGCTCCTCAACGAATCAGCAAGATAATTTGCAAACAAGAAAATATTAAATAATAGAATCTGTAGATTTAAGTCTTTGTAATTTGTTAACCACGAGGAGTTATGATTGTGAGATACAAATTAAATATAAATAAATCTTAAATCATTTGTTGTCGTAAATAATAATGAGATACAGATATCGTTATTACTTATGGACCATCACTTGTGGTATTCCTTACTTGTGAAGTAAGTTGCTGATCTCACAAGTTAAAGTGTGGTGATACTTAAATGAATAAATAGATGTTTTGTTATAGAACAAGACATTGGAGACATGCTAGGAAGATTCCACATGGATAACTATACGAGTGTCAGTGGTTAATCTCTAACATTCGGTAGTGAAATTTGTCATTTGACTTGAGGTCATCATAGTGTCTCATATGAGAACATTGATACTTTGGTGATATTTGATATTGCTCTGTCAAGTGTCGCTAATACAGTATCGTTCGACTATGTCAAGAATCATATAAATGTTGTAAATGAACAATAGAGGATTTACCACTTTTAGATAGTAGAATATTATGATTTACATTCATTTAATTAAGTTAATAACAAAATCATTGGCCAAGGTGTATTCATAAGTTGAAAAAGAGTTTTCGACTTATATTGAATTAATAGTGGGATGAAAGATATGATCGATAATTGAGATTGACACATATCCATATCTCATAATTGATTGGATCATATTGACGAAATGATTATACTTTCACGGTAAACGAACAAGTTTCGTTTGTCACATCACGTGACATTTTTCGTCATATATATTGACATGATACATTGTTAGATGTTATCTGAGACGACAAATGTGAATTTGTGAAAAATTAAAGGGGGTATTTTAATTTATCGATTTTGATTAGATCAAAATAATAATTCACAACGTTGGATATCGTAATAGGGAACGTGATGGGTCATACACAAAAGGAGAACCAGAAGAATGAGATTCACCAATTAATTAATTAATAAGTGTTGAAAATTAATTAATTAGGTTGTTTGTTAATATGCCCAAATTAATTAATTGGATTAATTAATTCATTGACCAAATTTAATTAATTGGATTAATTAAATATTAGATCGAATTAAGTTTAAGAAATGAGGTCAAGCCCACTTGAACTTATATTAATAAGCCATCAGAGTTTTAGAAAAGAACATAACATGAACAAGAAAAGAGAAATCATAATTCTCTCATTCTTAATCTCTACATGAATTTCTATTGGATGCTAGATAATTGAACAACTGTAGATTGTAGATTGTGATTGTCCCCGTTCTAAAATTAGCGAAGGAGTTTACAAAATCTACAAAAGGTACAATTTCTATCACGGTTTCTTTCTAAACACAAAGAAAATCTTTGATTTGAATTGAAATTCGTCTATTTTTCCGTTGTTCATGTTAAATAAATTCCCAACATGTAGCTCCGCAACGAATCGGCAAGATAATTTGCAAACAAGAAAAGAACACCACAAACCAGTACCAAGCAATAACAGAGACGGATAGGGACAAAAAGAACAATGAAAACAATAAGATTTTATTTGGTATGGACCAAATCAGTCTTACCTCCAAGGCCGGGGGCTCTTTGTCCCTATATCAATCCACTAAAGATTAAGATTACATCCTTTAGTAAGGGAGCATGATCATGAGAAGTCTTATATTCGATCTCTAACATAAACAACGAGCATACGAGTTGCACAAAGGTAAATTTGTTAAATAAATGAATATATTTTCATTAAATTCATCAAATATTTCGCATCAGCAAAAATTGTTATTGAAGCACACCTAAATAAAAATGTAAAGCTTTTTAAACATGACTTCACAATCACTAAATGAAGAATATGTGGCATGGTGAATAAAAAGTGAAAATACTTAATTACCCCATAGTTTCATCAAAATTTTATAAATAGGCCTAGTTAAGAACGAAGACAGATATGAAATTGAATAATCTCCTTTAAAATAACCATTTCTCTTCTAGTTCTTCTTTCGAGCAAAAATTATGTGAGTTTAGGAAGAAAACTATAATTAGATGAGAGAAATTTGTTAATCTCAATTTAGAGGTCAAAATCCATCTTTTTGCTCTAGATTGTAAATTGTTCGCCAAAACATGACCATATGTTGTAAGAGAATAATACATATCTAAGGTAGTTGTAAGACACAATTTCAAAATTAAAAAACTTGTTTTAAAATTATAAAAATAATGTCATTATTCTAATTTTATTAAATAAACAAATAAATAAATATATTTTATTAATTAAATATATTAAGGTCACTATATTATGCATTTTATGGTCACAATTATATATTAGTCACAATCACACGCCATATTCACAAATCACAAATTTTGTATGTCACAACTTATTTTATGATTACAAATTATCAAATTAGCCCCCGTTTGATCTACATTATTATCTCATTAAAATGAAAAATATGATCGTTATCCATAATATCAAAATTAAAATTCAAAATTTCCATCTCTTATGTGGACATCAATAACGACTATATTTTTCATTCTCATTCTACAATAATTTTGCTCAAACATGACCTAATTGATCACATATTATTTTTCGATCATGAATTTTATAAGTTATAAATTATTTTGCGATCATAAATTATTAAATTAATTATTTACAAGTTACTTCTTAATTAAAAATTATCAAATTAATTGGCTACAAAATAACAAATTGTGCATCACAATTATAAGTTTAGTCACAATCTCAAAAATTTGTTGGTATTGATCACATATTATTTATTACTTACAAATTAACAATTTTATTAATCACAATCAACTAAATAATCAATCACAAACACTTCATCCCATCTCATTCCATCGCAATGGAACACCGTGTCAGCACCACCACCACTTGCAAACCACCAACAATCGCCGCCGCCGCCGCAAAACCACTACTAACAACCACCATTTGCAAACCACAAATCACCACCAACAAAAACCAACGCAAAACTTGGACTAAGTAGATCAGATCGGAGAAGGATTAAACCACCCCCAAAACCCTAAAAAACCTAACGCCATTGTCGGGCTCGGTTGCAAATGAAGGTAGCCGGACGGGGATGGACAAATGCTGGGCTCGATTGCAATGGTTTTCTGACGATGAATGAAGGCAGATGGGGATGTCGGCGTTTGAAGGGGTTGTCCATGATTGGGAACTTGTACGTGCGTGAGAGAGTGAGGGAGTGGTGGGTAAGGTGGATTGGAGGAGATTATTAGAATTTGGGATTTGGGTGTTTATAGTTGTTAGTTGGAAAATTGTCGTTTATATTTTTAAATTAAAAAAATAATTATAACCTGATTTCAAAAAGAAAATAATTATAATCTGATTTTTGAAGTTGAAAATTAAAATATAGGCGCGAGTGTAATTTCCACTTACCGTAATAATAAAGCGTTGAGTCCTTTACTCTATTCATCTATTGCGTGTGTGTAAATATATGCACAGAATGTGTGTACACCATATAATGTAGTTCAATAACCTTTTTACATCCCCATAATATGAAAGAATATTACTAATTCTTTCTTTATTACTATGTATTGATAAATCCAATGTGCATAAAGAGGATTAAACATTATATTAGACAAGATTTTAACCTCATTTCTTTTTTAACAACATTAAACACTGTCTCACTAAACATGCCACAGTATAGATCGAGTTTATGAAGAAAACCACTTGCAACTACATTTGGTAGGCTCGGCACGTAGGCTAGCTTTAGCTAAAACTCGACTCAAGGGCAACTGTCCTGTCCGACTCCCCCACATGATGATTTTTTGTGTTGATGCATGAACTCGAGCTACCCATATCAGAGGCCTAAAGTCTGATCATAAGATGATGAAGGAAATTTTTTTTAAAAAAAATGGAGAAGAGATCTGCTGCATCATGGCTAAATGTAAAACAGAAAGCAAACTGTACATTAAAATTTCTATAAAGAACATAAAATTACTTCAAATTTTGCAGCTAAACAATTATTCTGATAGACATTTCTATATCCCCTTTCATCTGTCAAAGGAAAACAATGATTTGAGGCTAAGGATGAGTCTTTAGATCCTAATATTTTTCAAAAACCCGAGAATTTAAGCTTCAAAGACTTTGCACTCCTTGTCAGCTGGATTCGTCTTGCAAAAATCCTCCAACGGGTCACCACTTCCTTGTGCAGCCACGCCAGGCCACTTGTAGGCCACCAGATGAGCCAAATCAACAACTCTTTGGCTGCAAAGATAAAAAATAAAAACACAAGTTGAATGAACTTGGCACAAATCGCACGTCAAGACTTTTCGTGCTTGTGTTATATTTAGAACTTCTGCGAGAACTCTGAAGAATTCTTTTCTATGGTAGCAATATTCAAGTCTCGATGAGTTTAAAACATGAATCCAATATACAAGTGGTGATGGGCCATTTCAAGACTAAATTTAATAAGTAACTATGTTATCACTGTAATTGCTTAAATTTCAGAAAAATGTGTTTCAACATGGTATTAGAGGAAAAAAAAAGCTTTTGGGTTCTCAGCCCCGTCTCAATACATTTATTCAACCCGCCGTAAAGACAAAATTAGGTTCAATCGATATTATTTTATACTAATATAAAAAGATAAACATTGCATACCTGTATCCCCATTCATTATCATACCAAGCCACTACCTTGACCATGTCATCTCCCATGACCATTGTCAAGGAGGAATCTATGGTGGAGGAAACGTCGGTGCATCGGAAATCGACTGAGACAAGAGGTACATCGCACACTGCCAATATGCCTTTCAATGGCCCATCAGCTGCCTTCCTGAAAGCTGCATTAACATCTTCAGCTGTGAGTCCTTTCTTCTCAACATTCACCACGAGATCCACAACAGACACGTTAGGTGTTGGCACACGGAGTGCGATGCCATTGAGCTTGCCCTTGAGCTGAGGAAGCACGAGAGATACAGCCTTGGCTGCACCGGTGCTAGTTGGTACTATGTTCAATGCCGCGGCTCTAGCTCGCCTCAAGTCCCTGTGTGAAGCGTCGAGAAGCCTCTGCAAACAACAAAATCAATGTCAACGAATTTGTATTCTCATGATGAAACTAATTAATCTAATCAACAATGGTTGACTTGTTTTGTTAGGTTCACAATTTTTTCAGTGTAATCACCTGATCACCGGTGTATGAGTGAGTGGTTGTCATTGTTCCCTTGACAATGCCTGCAAAATGCAAGGGAAATCTCTCATTAATTACTCAAACTCGAGAAATTGGGGGTCTAGTCTGTCTTGTGCTAGAAAAATTAGCAAGCTTTCCTAGCTTTGCTCTTCAAAACAGGCCTTGAAAAACATAGGTATAATGATTTGTATAATTTAAAGTAATCTCATTTTTATGTCAATCCACAGAAAAAGATCGAACACATTTATTCTTAACTTTAAAGGTTTGATGATTATCATAACAACCATAATAGAAAAGACTCGTTCAATGACAATTCTTATAATTGTCATAATAACCTTTTACAACACCTCATATATGAAACCTCATTATCTGTCATTGATGCTATTCGTTGGAAGCTATTAGCCATGACAGAATGCCTAATTTCGGGTTGTGGGCCAAGAAGGAATTTCGAGTCTTACCTAACTCTTCATCCATGACCTTCACGAAAGGAGCCAAACAATTGGTGGTGCAAGAGGCATTGCTGCATAAAGTAAAAAATGAAATTGGAACAATTTGTATCGAATCAATATGTGGAAGCATATTGAAAAGCCCACAAAAAACATGTTTTAGTTGTGAACAAAATTGCATATTTATAAGCACAATTGACGATAGTTAGTCGATCAACATAAAAACTATTGACCTAATGATGTTGGCAACATCGTGATCGTAGTCCTGTTCATTAACACCAACAACATAAGTTGGGATATCAGCACCTTTTGCTGGAGCAGTGATAACAACCTTCTTTGCTCCTGCTTGGATGTGCTTCCCAGCACCCGGACCATCCACAAAAACACCTGTTCCCTGTATCCACACGATTTAATAAGTTTTAGATTGCTAAATGTCAATGACGTGTGGTAAGGTGAATCAGAGTATTCAGAATACTAGATAACATTAAATAAGAAAAAAAAAGTTAAAATCTTGTCTAATGCATTGTCGACTACTATCTAATACAATCTTGAGCATGCACCAAGTGAACCTGAAAGTGGTTGTCCAAGATTGAGATCAAATTTAAGGTTGCGCTAACTTACGTTGTTTTATTTTTGTCATCAAAGTTCTATCCGTTCCTAATTAATCATTGAACTTTCATTTGTTCGCAATACAAGCACAGTGACTACCTAATTAATGAAAAATCTGACATGGCATGAAAAAACCTGCATCTTAAAATCCTATCACATAGGAATATTAGAACGACACCCTGCTGACCTTACCAGGAAAGTCAATCTGTGGTCAAGCGAATGAGTTTACAATGGCATTAGACTCCACACAATTTAGTAAAGGATTGAATGAGAGCTCTACCTCGATAACAATGTCAATGCCGAGCTCAGCCCAAGGAAGTTTGAGAGGGTCCCTGTTAGAGACAACCTTTATGGGCTTTCCATCGACGCTGATGGTTTCATTGTCCACTATTTTAACATCTGCCTTGAATGTGCCAAGCATTGAGTCATACTTCAACAAGTGAGATGCCTGCATTTAATATGCAATTCGTGAATTTGAAAAATCAGAGTTTTTAACCCTTAATTTGCTAAAGGACTAAAAGGGCCACTATAATGGCTTACGCAGAAAACCATGCTGAACTCACGTTTTTTACACCGCCACTGTCATTGACGACAATCACCTCTAGTGGTGAGTCTTTGCGGCCATGCCAGCAGCGGAGGAAGTTCCTGCCAATGCGTCCAAAACCATTGATGGCAACCTTCAATTTGGCCACAGTTTGTCCCTTGACAGGGGTTGATCCTGTAGTCTAATGTTAGAAAGAAACGACAGATTACGGCAATACAGTGATAGGAAAGAAGTATGCATCAACTTAATCATTCTACCATCAGAAGTCAGTGTTTTTAACTAGAGATGACCACCTTAATGTCATTCCTAATAGACTTATCATATAGTTGCTGAAAAAATAGCAGAATTGTAACTACCATGTGAATTATTTAAACAGGGATAAAAATAATACCTTTGGAGAGAGTTGGGCTGCCACTGCATCAAAAAAGGAACCCTCCCTGACATTCTTGGCAAAGCTCACGCAGCCACTGGACCTAAGACCACAGTATTCAGCCACTTCCAGCTTCTACATGGCCAGAAAGAAACGAATTAAAACAGTTGAAACAGAAACTACTTGGATTCAGTATTAAACGGAATAAAACTCGGTCCATGGTGTTACAGATTAAGCCCTAGTGCCTTCCTATATGAGTAATAATGAACTCAAACAAAATCAGAGAACAAGCAAAGCGTACAAACATTTATAGTAGTTCAGTTTATCCTCAATTTGAAAAGTAAATCACTTTATCAATGGAGGTTTTTGCTATAACGAGGAAGAGTACAAGGTAATCTTACGCCTCTCAAACGAGTGGCCTCTTAAAATCCTTTTACGTAGTAGGAATATTAAGGTGACTTAATAATACGATCAGACATGCAATTGTATAATAGCCATACAGTATTATTAGGTTCCACATAGTGTAACGCATCATTAACATGCATTGCAAAAAGGTGAAGGAAGATGACCTTAGAGAAGCATTGAGTAGGAAACGAATGGGAGGTCTTGGAAGGAAGCCTGGTGCTAGTTGGGATTCTTGAAGAAGCCAGAGCTGCGTGGGAAGCCATGTCTGCAGGCTGCAGCAACTGAAACAAACTACAAGAACAGCTTCTCAGATATATATGGTTTTTCACTATTCAAGAAAATCTAAATTTGTAAAGGAATTCTGGTTGTAATTGAGTTAAAATAATGAGTGGTTAGGATTGTATTTGAAGATTAATATCAGATAAGATCATGTTTTTCTCTGCACCATAAAAATCTGAAGCATCTGAAGCACAGATTATTCAACCCATTTTTGTTTTATATTTCTTGCAAGTTTCCTTTCAAGTGCTGTCAAAGGGGCCTGGCTGCCTGGGTAGTCCAAGCCTGCAAAAAGCCCGATGCTGGTCGGTCCGACTTGGCACTATGGCCCGCAAGAGCATAATGAATTATAATTGGATGAGAAAAATTAACACAGTAATCAACTCGGCTCACCTTGGGACAAGCCTGTAGGTCCAGAAAAATGTGATGCGTCAGGCATGGCGGGGCCCTTCCAGACTCGTAGGCAGGCCATTCCCAAGAGGGAGAGACGGGGGCAGGGCGGGTACGATGGTGTAACTAAAGCTATATTAGCATTAGCTGCATTACGACGTAAAGGAAGGGTCGTATTGAATTTTGCCTATCTTTTTAATTCAGCCTCTCTTTTTTCCCCCAAAAGGAGGCCTTTCATATTCTATGTTTAACTTGATCGTGCATAAACAATTTTGTCTTACACATTAGACTCTTCGGCGAAAAAGATTTACAGGTCAACAAAGAATCTCAAATCATGAACTGAAACAAATCAACATTGAGTAGACCAACCACCTTCAAACCTTATTAATGTGTTACATTCTATGTGTTCATAGAAATGAATAATAAGAAGTTGAGTTATCATTATGCAGATCCACATCAACTGATAACAGCCAAAAACTTGACTATAAAAGCAAAGAAGAACATCCTCAAATTACAGCCTTTCTGTTATCTGATTTAAACAGAGTATAAAAAGACAAGCAGAGTTCCAAAGAGAACAACTCAACAGTCTTATATGAGAGCTTCCATATCATCTGCGTTCACAGCTGCTCCATTTGGAGGTTCGTCAGATCGCAACTGATTGGACATGCTGTCTATGGCCGAGTTTAGCTGTTCGATCTTCTCAGCTAGCTTCTTGCGTTGCCTCTGCGAATAGGATAGCATGCAAATGCGTCAAAAACGATGGATGGGTAAAACAGGCTACCACAGGTTAAGGCAATGATGCAACAAACAATGCTATTATAGGTAATGCAGCTGAAAAGAACATGTTTGGCAATCTTTAAAAAAATTAAAAGTTAGGTTTAAGTAACTTTTTTCCAAACATGTTTGAATATACTTTTTTCTTACTCCTGAGAAAAATGAGTTGCATATTTTGAAAGTAACTCTTACCTTCAACTTATTTTCGACTTTGACTAATAGGAAAAATATTTATTTTAACCTACTTAAGTAGGCTAACATGTGTTTAGCCAAACAAGCTCATAATGTGATTTTAGTTCACGAAATAAGTTATGTCAGCCTTCCTTCCAGTTTCAGCTGCAGTAAATTTGTGGGCGACTATATTTAGCTTTTATAAAAATTTCTTATTATCTAGACAGTTTCAACAAATTTTGATAAATATTTTAAATAAATAGCTACTGCAATATCTGTATTAATCAAAACCAAAATAGGCTAGCAATGGAATTTCTTTGGTAGCTAAATAATGTTATGATTTTATTTTTTATTTTTTTGATTATTATGTGAGTTTTCAATTTCATTACTTAATCCTTTTCAGAAAGTTTCAAGAGCCATACACTACAATTGAAAATGGAAGGTTATAGTTTCAGAACTCCTTTATTCATAGTTCAGTTTTCCCCCATAATTATCTATTTAGTGGGATGTCTTCTCTGTGTGTGTAGGTTGGGGTGTTGGTGGTTTTTAACACTTTCTTTTAACAGCTTCTAAATTCATTTGCCTTTATACAGCATCATTCGAGGAAACTTCATGCCTTAAGTATGTTATGGTTCTTAGGACTAGATGAACTTAAACTACGATAATTGCATATATCAAGTCTCAGCTGGTGAGAAAAATATTTCATTTTCCTTCAACAGAAACATAAGCAGATGAATCACTCAGGTTACCAGGATTGAATTTGGACACAAGTTTCCATCAGAAGAGAACAGTGAACAGGAGGAAAGAGGAATCCTGATTACAAAAGGACTTCACGAAAAAAGAAAATACACTTGCCTCCAAATTTTTTTCTTCATCGTAGATAAATTTGGGCAATTTTCTCATGAGATCCTTTTTGTCAGCAGTAGCACCAGCTAAGGCCTTGCTAATCTGTGAAAGATAGGAGAGAGCAGTAATATATAATTTCACCCAGCAATCGTTTATCTTATATCTTCAGATTAATTCAATGAATTGTTGAAAAATTCCATGGATGTTCCAGTGAAATAATGCGTTTGTTATAGAATAACCCCTCAGACGAAGGCAAAAAAGGGAGGCAATGAGTAGTAGAAATGGCAGGATTTCAAGCCCGATTAAGAAAGGACCATTGAAAATTTCTAGATATGAATAGTGAGCTTCTTTCTCCTGGATGCTGTATGCAAGCATGCATCAACACGTTAAGATCTTAATACTATCACAAATAGAAATATCTATCAGGATAAATTGTACGTGTTGTCCCCGACATACACCCCCATTTACATTTTAATCCCTTACCCGTTTTTTTTTCCTTATTTCTTTTTGTCATTAAACTCACTACTCTCATTAAGGGCCATTTACGCCTAAAAATGAAACATTTAGGAGCTTCATGCCAAGAAAGAAATGTAAAAGATAGAAAAGAGTAAATGATGGTATACATTGGGGACGACGATATGTGCAATTTATTCCAATTACAATAAGGGTGCGTCTGATTGTCAATATTTTACATGAAAATTGTATTTTTTTTCCACCTAATTTACCAATTTTGTGTTGTTTGATTGACAATTTTTCTACGGAAAATATTTTCCTACTTTTGGTCACGTGACCATATTTTTCTCCAAAACATTGAAATTTTTTCTTTATGGAGAAGTGGATTTTATTTTCTAGGTAATTCACTTTCTTATCTATTCATCAATAAAAAATGAACAAGTATAATATTTTCCAAGTTGAAAACTAAATCAATCAAACACATTTAATTTATAATTTCCATACAAATAAGTTCTAGGCGATTGAATTGCCAGAATTTATTTTCTTTCCATACAAATTTCATTATCGTAATCAAACGCACCCTAAGTTTCCAAGATACAAAGTAAGAAAATGCATAGTAGAGAAAGGTGTAGCAGCCATGCAAAGATAAATGCACCCATTTATAGTTGTTTAATTATAATCACCTGTGGTGCACACACACAACTTAATGTGCCAACAATTAATCCCCCCAAAACAAAGCCACCAACAAAGATGCTTCCACTGCTTGGCCTATCACTGATAATAAACATAAAAGGTAAGGAAATATCTTCAGAACTCTTGATATACATTTAAAAATGAAAAAGTGCAAATTGTCCTCTTTCTTCTGATTATTTGATGCTGCTTTCACTTTGATCCTGGTGCTTTCATTCGAAAGCTCGATGGTCCATGGAAAAATAAGAAAGCTAGCAGAAGGTCTACATTCTTAAAGTCTAAAATATTAAAGAAATGTTACTCGGCAACCAATAGGACCTCTTAATACCTCGTATTCTTATGCAAAAAACAATGGTTAACTGATAACATCATAACAACAAACAGGTAAATAAACAAGCTGACGATGACACATACCTGTAACTTGCTTGAAGAGTGAGTTTCCTTTTTGGGGCAGATGATTTCGTCGTGCCTTTCAAACTGAAGGATGAGTTTTTGGGGCCCATAATAGTTGCATGGTGGTCCACCGACTTTAAAGAACCTAGTACAAGATACAAAGTTACAGGAGTTCAGAACAAATTAATAAAGCATAACATGCCAAAGATGACCATCCGTATATTTTATAGTGAATTGTTTAGCGCTTACATATGAACAAATAGCAATATTTTGCAAGTGTTAACATAAAGAAAAAAAACTATAAATTTTTCATTCCAGCTCTTCTACTAGACAAATAGAAGGAGCCTTGACAAGCTGGACAAGTTCCCAATATGCGCTAAAATATCAAGCTACTGATACAAAGTATAGATTACATTCTTCAGAACCCAAAATAAGATGGAACTTTAGCCTAAACATGATTACTGCATTAGCTTTCTGGAATTCAACTGAAGATTTTGAATAATATCCTTTGTGTTGTGTATTAACGTCTGCTGGATCGCATAACTCTTTAGTGGCTTAAACATATCCTCCAAAATGCCAAATACGTTGTTGAATTCGCACTTTAACCTTACTTACCCCAAAATTGAGTTACAAACTGAAGAATAAATGTCTCAGAATAATCAAATTAAGGTTTGTTGAGCTTCAGGTTTTTCAAAGAGAGAAGAAAAATGGAAACTTAAGGGCAGCCTATTTGGGAGCATTTTAAAATTCTTTGTTAAATTCAAAAATATACATTAGAAGAAATAAGGAAGATACCTCTTCACAGGCTAAAAAGATTGATAAAGAGTGTTAAGTGTTAATGTAATAAATATATTAGTTTAAGGGTAGTTTTGTCATTCTATTTGTTTACTTGTAAGACTATTTAAAGTTCCCTTTCTTTGTATTTTCTATCAAATTTTAAGCAATGTAGAACCCTAGCCCCCCTTTGTTTTCCCTCTCCATCTTGTGTATTATTTGTTTCACATGGTATCAGAGCTAATGTTTGTGCTTGAATCCTGCCAGCAGAATGTGTAACCAAAGGAGATCTGGGAAGTGGACACCAGCCTTGGGAAGTGGACGGTGGATTCAAGAAGTGGATGGTTTGTGGTTGGAGTGGAATAACAACATGCCATTTGTGTTTTGCTTTGTGTTCTAAAGCATTTTCTGTCCTCTGTCTTTTTCCAAAAAAAAAAAGAGGTGGACAGTGGAGATTTGAAAAGTGGACTGTGGACGCTCCGTGGAGTGGAAGGCTGTTCAAGTTGTTGGCTGATGTTGGAGGTTGCATTCAGGGAATTAAACAAGGAACACAGCAGTTCTGTTGGCTGATTTTGGTGGCCAATTTTGGAGGCTCTATGAATCGGTTTCCTCTTCTTCCTCTCCTTGTCCTTTTCCTAATTTGATTTGGCAAATTGGTTTGTATTGTTCACATGGATTCTGTACTGACTGGTTTATATTCCTATTTCTTTTGGTCGGCGTTAATGGTAGAGGCGAGATATATGGCAACGATTTGGTTTTGTGTTGATTTAGTTGGTTGTTGTGGCTGCTGGAAGCCTGGAACTGTGGTGAATGAAATCGGGGAAGATGTTGAAGTGGTAATTGGCTGGGTATTTGTTTTGTTGGGTTGGTTTAATTTGTGGGGAGATTAATTGGGCTTGGGTTATAGTATTAGCTGGGAATGAAAGGTTAATGAGCTTGGAATGAGTAATGGTCATGTTGGTGACATTGTAATTGGGCAGAAGGTTGAGTTTGAATATTTAGTTTATTGAGCTTGTTAAATTAGGTTTGCTATTTGTGTGGGCTGATTTAGTGTGGACTGCTTTTGTGTGGTAATTTGTTTGGGTTACGATCTAGCTTCTTTTGTAAGTTGGTTGTGTTTATTAGGCTGTTGGAGTAATTGGGCCAATTATTTAATTGGTTTGATTACTACTAATTTGGGTTGGTTTACGGAAAAAATAAAAAAGATTTGGAATTTTGGTTTGGTATATGCCCAGTTCATGGGATTGAGAATTTGGTTTGGTGTATGCGCCCAGTTCATGGGATTGGAAATTTGGTTTGGTATATGCCTGGTTCATGGGATTGAGAATTTGGTTTGGTGTATGTCCAGTTCATTTGGAATTTGATTTAGTATATGTCCAGTTCATCTGGAATTTGGTTTAGTTTATGTCCAGTTACTCTGGAATTTGATTTGGTGTTGGTTCGGTGTATCCGAAATTTGAAATTTGCATCCAGTTCAGTTGGTATTTGTGGAGCTGGAAGTTGTCTCTTCATCGTTGCAACTTGCTAACTTCTTTAAGAAGTCACATTCGGTTCATCGTTTTTGTTTTTTGCTTGTCAAACTCTCGTTGCTTCTTGTTGTAGCATCTTGAGTTTGAGAGGGGATGTTAATGTAATAAATATATTAGTTTAAGGGTAGTTTTGTCATTCTATTTGTTTACTTGTAAGACTATTTAAAGGTTCCCTTTCTTTGTATTTTCTATCAAATTTTAAGCAATGTAGAACCCTAGCCCCCCTTTGTTTTCCCTCTCCATCTTTTGTATTATTTGTTTCACATTAAGAAAGTCCATTCAAGAGGTGACATAATTGGGAACTGACTGATTGCTCAAAAACTGAAGAAACAAAATAAGATACTCCTAATTGTATGAAAAGGATTCTCTAAAATTTCAGTGGCCTCTCTATTCCTTCCCTCCCCCTTGCTCCCCCTCACACACTCACATACCATATGAGATAATGAGAAGTTAAGCTCCCAACATTGCCATCTTTAAGCTTGTCATCCCCCCAGCACTGCAATACAATAATAATGACAGAAAGTGCTACATTCCTCCACAGCCTCCTAAAATATGGGCAGCCTTACCATTCTCCAATGAGAACATATCTGCAACACCATCCTATCTATGCACACTGTACAGAAATCCAGAACGCTTCACCTAAATTGCTCCCCATTATGCTCCCAAAAATTTACCCTTGCACCACCTTCAAGCAAGAAATCACTCCTAATTTTCATAATGCTTCCCAAGAACCCAACCCCAGAGGATTATGGAAGTCGTTGTGAGCTTCACTCCCGTCTGTACTTGCCCACCAAAGGATTCTTGCACAAAGCATCCTGCTCTACTGGAAATCTTATATCCATTTTCCCAGAAAATCTTGATTAAATATCCAAGGATTCTGATTCTCAGCCCTCGACATTTGACAGACTTTTTGATTTGTTCTCAATTCACAAAATTATACTTTTCCATTTTGATAAATAGTTGCTGTAATATTTTGCCAATAGAGGAAGGCACTGCAAACATGAACATAAAATAAGCAAGAGGCAAGCTAGATAAGCTGCTAGATTTATGCATCCCGCGAAAAATGTTGTGGGTGGATTCTCGCAGATTGTTATTACTTCCTTATTGGAGTTCCCAAAAGCATCATATCCCAAATCTAGTAAATTCTCACTACAAAGCCATCCAGATCCTATTCACTAGAACTGGAGGTTTGAAGAATTTAATGGTATACAAGAACTTTATTTTATTTTTCATAATAATTCCTCCGAATCTTAACCAGTTAGCCTCCAAGACTCCAAGTAACTAAAATGTTCTGCTTCCGGTAATAAATGCTTAGTCCATTTCTTTAAGTAGATCAATTAAGATCCTCTCCCCCACTAGAGAAAGGAAATTAGTGTCAGATGAAGCCTTTATGTATCTTCTAGAACATAAGATATGATGATTGTGTTTCCAGTATACTCACAATTTACATACCAATCCGAATAAAACTCCAGGGTGGCTCTTTTACCTTCCTAATAAAGTGACAATCAACAAAATATTCAAATATACTTTTTACCATGGAGCTGTAATCTTTCGTGTCGTTCAGTAAAATCCATTACACATGCTTATCAAAAAGGTGAATAATCAAAAAAAAAAATCACTTCCCGGTATAATTATTCAACAGTTCTTAAAAATCTCCAAATCCTATCTAGTTCTTAAAAAGAAAAAAGCACTAAAAATAATTCAAACGGCAAAGAAGAGGCACAAAACACACATTGATCATCGAATATGAAAGTGAAGTAGGCTGAGAGCTGTAATCTTTAATGCTGTTTCGTAAAATCTACAATCACGTACTTCCAAAAAAGGTCATTAATCAAAAACCCATGTCCTGATTCAATTATTCAACATTTTTTAACAGTTTTCAAATTCCCATCCGGTACCTAAAAAAGCACCGAAATAATCAAAAGCATTGAAGGGACACTGAAAAACACACATCGATCGTCGAATATGAAAATACATGTAAACTTATCAAAATGAAATATGTTTGAATGAGTACCGGATGATAGACAAAGCGCAGTGGTTTTAGATATCACAATTGAATTAGATACAGCAGTCATCGTGTATCAGTTTCAGAGAGAAATATGTGTGTGTGGAAGCGAAGTGAGCGAGAAAAGGGAGAAGAAAGAAGAACAGAGTGAAATGGCAAAACATATAAGTTTTTTATTTTATATATTTTTTTGTTCGATAAGATCGAGGATTGCCTCTAATTACAACGACCACAACTTCGGCCAAAATGGGGAGTTCACCGGCTGTTATCTTCAGATTTCTATTTTAGTTTTGAGTTTTGAATTTATTCATTGTTGAAAATGTATTATTTTTGGTATTTTAAAAAATTATTTTGAAAACACCCAAAACTCGTTTTGAAAATTTTGGATTGATTATAACTGAAGACACTCGTTTTGAGTTTTCTTTATAAAGTTTTAACTTGTTTTCAAAAATAATTTTTGAAAATAGGAAAAAGAACGCGTTTTCAATTATTTGGAAAATCGAAAACAACTTGAAAATGGTAAAGAAAACATATCCTTATTATTTCAATAATCGCACAATTTAATATTATAGTGATCATTTATTCATTAAATTTCAGAGTAAATTCCATTCCATGTCAAATGAAAATTCCATGTGATAAATTACAAGAAGTAAAAAAATTTATGAATATTTGCTACATGTACATATTGCTTAACATCTAGTTTGACATCCATTCAAAGTAAATTATTTTATTACTCGTCCAACTTATACTATAGTCATGATTTACTCTTCAAACTTCAAAATTCTTTTCAATCATCACTCTTCTTTGAGAGTTGTACTACGAATTCTTTAAACCCAATTGTTCGTCCTCAATTTCAGCTCCAAAAAACCTTAACCCTCAATTCAACCCATATCACCTATGTAGAGTTAAAATGTATACAAAGACAGGTTGATTATTGAGAAGGACGTGAAAATCTACTACTTATAAAGATCTATCCCCAATTGTATCATCTGTTCGACGTCTCTCTAATCTCAATCTTTTATTTTTGTAGGATTGTATCCGACCATTTGAAGAAGGAAATTTAATCCAACTCCGACTAGAATGAATAACAACAAACACAAACATGGCCTAAAAGATATTCCATTCGTATACCAGCCGCTGGAGTTCGACAACATTCATTTCCTTAAATGGTCGGATACAAGCTTGCAAAAATAGAAGATTGAGATTTAGAGAAATGCTGGACAGGTGGTACAATTGGAGGATAGGACTTTCTAATTAGTATCTTCTCACACCCTTCTCAACAATCAGCTTGTCTTAGAATACATTTGGTTGTACGTGGGTGGGATGAGTGAATTGAGGGGCTAAGGTATTTTGGGGTTGAAATTAAGGAAAAACAATTGGATTTAACAAGGTTTATGGGGCCACGAAAGTCGTGTTTCACATATGGTGGTTTTGGAGAGTTGAATGCTTTAACTGAGTAGTAATTTTTTAACGGTCGTAACTTGCCACGCTGGTTTTCATGCAACATATAAGCAACGAATGGAATAAATTTGACGGATGATGGATGGAGTGCAACTCTCAAAGATGAGTGATAAATGGAAAGCATTTTAAAGTTGATGAGTAAACCATGATCATAGTATAAGTTGGGTGAATAATGAAATATTTTACTTGGATGGTAGCTAAGTCGTAATTTTTTAACAGCTTTAACATGTCACTTGAAGATTTCCGTTTGACAAGTTAGGAATGAGGGAACAAAATTTCGAGGATGATGAACGAAGTGTAAATAGACAAAATTCAGTGAGCATTGTGAAGTACTTTGAAGTTTAGTGATTAACTGGTGACTAGGATGTAAATTAAGTAATTATTGAAACATTTAATTCCAAAATTGGCTATATTTAAAAACTATTTTTTGTTCAAATTAACGAAAAATTAGGTTATTTCTCTATCTGCAAATCCAGCCCTTGTCAATATAAGAGTTAAAATAATACATAATTTTTACACATCTTGAAGCCATATAAAGTTGCGATCTTCGGATAAAAAAAAATAATAAAGTAGCAATCGCGTGGAGGCAACCTTTCCTTTCGAGAATTTTTAGGAGTGTGGAGGTGGCACATAGGGTTGGCAACGGGGCAAGACGGGAATGCGCTCACCGCCCCTGCCCCGTTACCCCTTTAAGGCGGGGCGGGAGTGGGTCTTTGCCCCGTTTACTATCCATTTAAGTTTTTTTATATATAATTTATTTTATTGCTCATATTCATTAGATTTAAACAAATAAATTTAGTTCCTATTTTCTATTAGAACTAATGAAATTTTGTAAAATTTTTCATTTAAAGTATTGAATTCTAAAAAAAAAAATTTTTAAAAATTAACAGGGTGGGAAACTCGTTACCCATCCCCGCCCCGAGGCAAAATTCTTCGTCCCGTCCCCGCCCCGTTACCCAATTAAGCGGGTTTTTTCCGCCCCGATTGGGGCAGGGCTTCGCGGATATCGGGTTTGTTATGTTTTTTTGCCATCCCTAGTTGCACATAATAAAATATCTCGATTTACTGTCCTATGTAATAATCTATTTTTAGCATCATTTTTAAATAAGATTTGAATTTAAAGAAATTAAAATAAGAATATTTGTGGTGAATTCGGGAAATCAGAAAAGGGACCATGTTCCATTTTGTTGCCCTAATTATCTAATGGGGTAGGGCCGGTATTTTGCCATTCCGAAAGTTGGATGGCAAAATCATCAAACTACTTAATATTTTTCTCTTATTCAGTTGAAACTTTCGTGTATTGAGCTTTCAATAATCTGCAATTTTAACATGTAATACAATACATGTATGGAGTACTTAACATTCACATAATTAGTTTATGATCAGTGTAATTTTTATACCTATTTATACCATCAAAAGTGAATTTTTAGGTACTTAATGGAATTAACTACTAGTTAACTTATTTAAAAATTGATTATTGTAGGATACCCCCAAATTTGGCTGCAGTTGGAGTGAAATAGGTGAAATTGGAGATTAAAGGAGGATTTCTAAAGTTTGGAGACCAAAGTGTAAATATTCAATAGTTGATTCAGACCACATATCAATGATTGAAGAATGTGGGGAGTCAATTGCATGAGAATAGAAGACAAACGACTGATTTTGCACGAAAAAAGAACCAAATCAACCCTTGAAAAAGTCCAGGGACCAACTTGCAATTGGTCTCAAAAACCCCAAGCCTTGAGCACGCAACAGCGTTGTGCAAGGGTCAATTTTTTGGAACATGAGGCTAACCTGCCTCAGCCATGAATGCGCAAGCAAGATGTCCATGTGTGCGTATGGCCAATTTTGGCTGACATGCGCAACTTTCCTTCTATGATCATAATTCATTTTGGTAATAATTTTGAACGCTTTTCTTAATCTAAATTCAACATCTACAAGTATAGAATGTGGGAAACATACCTACCACCCTCACATACGATATAATTTATCTAATCTTGCAAACAAAGGAAGACAATTCACTATTCTTTTGAGAAAATCAAGAGGCAATATACAAGAATTCAATTTAATCAAGACCCAACCTTGGTTTTTAGGTAAAGAAGAGGAAAGTGCAATTGAAGACAATCAAGAAATCATTGAAGAGTGTTTCGTGCGGGTTGTCGCTAACAATTAAAAAAGATTCAGACGATTGTGTAAAGAACAGACCTCTTAAGACAAAGTTCCAAAAAAGGGTGTTTTATTGGCGATGATTTACAATTGGAAATAAACAGAATGCCTCCAAGGGGCGCAAGCACATGAGTACTAAAAGAAGTTTTAAAATTAAACTAAGAAATTGAAATTACATATTCTATGTTTGAGAGTGTTTGATTCGGGGTCCTTTTTTCTATGTCTTCTCTTCCCTTTTATACTTCCTTGATAATTTATTCATAACAAACCACTTGGAAACTGCTTGATTACTCTATAACTACCCACTTTCTTCATGATGACTGACTTGTCATGGGACTACCGTCTCTAACTGTTGCCACTACTCTCGTCGTTCAACCGCCTACAACTGTGATTCTTGGATCGTGGGGGTGTGATAAGGTTGCTCAATAACCACTTCAATAACTGCTGTTCTGGATAACCATAATAAGGGTGTGACAAGGTCACTCAATAACCGCTTCAATAACTTCTGTCCTGGATAATCATATTACCTCATGTTCGCTAAGATCCTGGGTGATTCGAAAGTTTGGGTAAAAATAGGCTCATTCGCTCTGGGCGATTTTAAAGCATTCCACACGCTCAAATCTGGGGCGTCTTGCAAATTTGGACGAAGATGGTACCTTGTTCGTGGGCCTCCACTACATTCATTAATGGTACTATTTGGGCCTTCATCATGGACTTCCTAACTGAGTTTCATCCCTTGGGCTACTTGATTTGGGCTACACTTTTTGTATGTCAACATTTATCCCCCAATATGTCAGAATTAATACTAATTATTAATCTTTGTCATATTCTTTCTTTGTATTTTTCGGCAATATTTGAAATTTCCAAGAATTTCAATCATTATTTCTGTTTAGTTGTAACCCTTCTATAATCTGAAAAGGTGCAACGTTAGAAACCCCCATAAACCCAAAAGATAGGCCGCTTCCTCACAACATTACCATCACGTCTTTACATCGTGCATTCTATAAAGGTCACTATTCATTGTCTTGCTTCCTCATTACACTTCTCAAGAACCCTTGACAACGTCTGTTTCTGCATCCAATGGCGACTTCACAAACTCATTCTGATGATTCTTTCAGTTTTGAGGACTTCCAAAACCTCATTGCTAGACCGTATATAAATTCAAATTTCTTTGCACAAACCAATGCTGACCTCAATGAATTCTATCTAGGCCCATCATTCAATGATGCCGAAGCTATCGAACGAGCGGTGGTAGGTCAACTATTCCCTTGCACTGAAGACCCTCATTTTCTGAACTCCTTGCCATTGAAGCCGATCCGCGATAAAGGTATTAGCACTTGGCCAAAAACTGATCCTAGTTTTCATAGATAGCATGCAGTTATGGTAAATCACGGTCCCACCAAAACAATTTTTGATTGTGCTACGATTTTGGACATATTAGAAATT